ACACTCTGTCCAATTGCACAGAAAATGCTGCAACCCGGGATCTGGTACTTCGAGGCGTCCAGATTATCAAGGAAAGTCTTCTTCGATATCCACGTCGAGTACCTACACAAGAGGCTGAGCCAATGGACGTTGACACCACAGATCATGTGAGTGTTGCATCCTCGGACCGACGACCAAAGGCCAAAGCCCGACCGCGACGCGGAGGCGAAGCCGTACGGGGTGATGTGGTCTTGATCCGTTATGAGAACAAACACAATCTCTGCACGGATGGGGAGAATCGTCGGGGCCTAAATGATGCTTGTGGCGTACCACTGCAGGAATCGGGACCAGAGAATAGCCAGCGAGTGGTGGACATCATTGAGCAGCTTTCGGACCATCGCGACCGACGCCTACCTCAACGAGGAGACCGTCCTAGCTTTGCTTACGATGAAAACACTCATAGCTACACCAATCCAGGCTATGAATCCATCGGCGGCGGAAGGCCAATCCGGTGCGGGATTCTCGACCTGATCCCAACCAAGGGTGCAAGCTGCATCAACAATCGGTGGGACATCGTGAACGAAGTTGTCCTTCGCAACATCACTCGTCAGCGCAGATTGAACGCGGATTGGGCGCTATCATGCATCCAGTCTGACTTGCGCCACAGAATCGCCAGGCGCCCAGGCTCGGAATGGCTTGACAACAGGTGCCAGGTGGCATTCAACAGTGTCATCAAATGTGATGAAGGAGGATGGGTGATGATCGAAGACTTGGTGAGGCATGAGCCACTATGGACCAATGAAAGCAGACGCATCACCGAAGGGGTCTCAAGGACCGATGATCAACAGAAGAAGAGAGTGTACAATGAAAGACTTCAGCTATTGTTCCAGGGGAACATGATTGCAGCCACGAAACGCAACAAGGCCAAGATTCGGTTGCAGTTCCTGGGTGTGAGAGTGAAGGACCCCGGCACGGAAGTTCTTGGATCAGCGGGTTCGAACATGTTGGTATCAGTTCGGGACCAGATCGCAGAGATCCAGAGCAACGACCATTGCCGACATGGCCAGAGGTACCTGAACCAATGCAACGGCTGGGTGAAGCCATGGGCAGTTCGGGCTACGAGTGGTCACTCTGCGCATTCAGATCCCCAGAACAACTTGCTTCAGTTGGACAAGAACAGGTTAGCAATATCTCCATCTATGACCCTCTTGCAACGTCTTGGAGGTGCGTTCCACGCTACGGCATGCCGCAACTTGGATTCCATTGTCACGCAAGGCATCATGCCTGGTTCGGAGGACCCCGACGGGGACTGCGACCATAGGCGCCAATTCCGAGGCAACCAAGGTGGCAGACTCCACAGCTATTGGGGGGTGTTTGCGCCGTTCGATCACCGGAACGCAACGACCAAGATGCGAGTACATGGACGAGACGCCAAGCACATGCCATTGGCGGTCTTCATGTCCCATCGCAAGATCTTGCACGAGAGGATGGACGTATCACAGACAGCGGCATCATGATCGTTGGTCGAACGATACCTTTCCATTTCGTCAAGGAGGTATGGTTTTGCGTCCCTGATCCTCGAGATACACACTCTTTCGCTCTGGTGGAAAAGATCTACGATGAAAGGTTGGAGAAAGAGCTGGTGTTGGACTACAATGCATCACCGTTGCTTCCCGAGTTCGAGAGATACCGAACGCCAAGCAAGATCATGGAATTGCTTTGCGAGATGCCTCCTGGACCCCACGACACAAGCAAGGAGCAGATCATTCGAGACCTCACGACTGTCCTGGAGTCCCACAGGGAGAACACGGTTCGGCATCACTACATGGACAAAGGAATCAAGTTTGTCATCAAGAATTGGCGACCCGAAGACCTACGCAGAGACGAGGATGGACGGAGAATGAGGGTATGCCCGGCATGCTACAACATCGTTCCAGCATGTTTCTCCCGATGCACGTCTTGCTGGTCACAGTTCATTTCGAGCGGATATTACCAAGGTTCTCCACAACGGGAGACTCCTACGGAGATCCCCAGTGACTTCATTGCTCAGACAATGGAAGCCGCAGCAGCCGCAGTGCCTGAGGCGCCCGAAGAGGAGCAGGAAGCCATGGAGGTAGAGACCGTTGCGGAACCTGAAGAAATCCCAGAACCATCTGTCATCGCGGAAGACGATCCAGAACAGGAACCTGATGAAGAAATGGACATAGAGCCTGGAGAGGACTTTGATGACGCAGTTCCAGAAGCAATCGCACAGGAACGTCGTCCCGTCTTCATTACCGGCCAGTCTTTGAACATCGATCCTGAGCTACAACTTGCACGTACCGCCATGCAGCCATCCTACTATTCTGGAAAGCGAAATGCCCATTGCATTGACGCGAACATGACCGCTCTTTCGTACATGGCATACGTGGTATGCAGATCCATCTACAAGGCTTGGTCAGGATTCGCAAAGTGGGCGACTATGCCGTTGTTTCAGATGAGGGAAAGTTTCGCACTTGGCCAACGCTATGATGTGCTTGGAAAGTGGGGATCTTTGGCGGCAGTGGATAGGGAAACGGGTGTGAGCAAGGATGTGACTGATGAGGAGATCATTCGCTTTGCCAAGGAACCTGAGAACCTCAAACAGTATGATCCCAACGGGACTTACACCTTGAAGCGCTTCCGGACGAACCAGATGCTTTCTTTACTTACACGGGGAGCCAACATGATGGGAATTGGCAGGGACAACTTCAACCCTACTACTTACTTGAAGAGCGATAGGGATGAAGATGTAAAGGCTATGCACTTTTGTTGCCTGAACGTCCTGTGCGAGGTGATTCCAATGGTGACGGGACACCAACAATTCTCAGTGCTACGACCAACGCCAACTGGACCAGTGGACTTCTTGTACATCGACCCCGTCGGTATTCTGCTGACTCATTCTGATCAGTCAGTCCAGACCATCGGCTTGCTGGTGGACCACAGTGTGCAAATGCCTGCGCATTTCATGGACAGATTGAACAGATCCAAGGCTGAGAGGCAGCAAAACCCGACGACCAAGCGTACGGAAGCCCTACACCACATTTCGGCCGCTGACTATCTTCCTCCAGGTGGTACATCCATCCTGGACACGCCTGTCACTACGGAGGAACGTGAAAGCGCTTCTTCATCCAAGGGACCTTCCAAAGGGCGTGGAAGAACCGGAGGTGAGCAACATGGTGGCTGGAACACCAATTCCTACCACGACTACATCGCCGGCAAAGGTCGAAACAAAGGCAAAGACAAAGGAAAGCCGAGGAACCAGTATCCAGAGGAGAACCTCCGGCCCTGGGACCGCGATCCTACGTCAACGCGAAGATGGTGGCGAGACAACGCCTGATCTTCCTCGCCTATCAGTTCGTGACCTCTGAGCTTCGCCCATGGAATGCCATCGCGAATGCTTCTTTCTTCGGTGACGCCTGATTCGTTTGTCATTTCAGGGGATCGTTACTGACGTAGATGAGTGTCACAACGTTTCTAATTGGGATGCAAAGCTCTGATTTTCAATGTCAACGTTGCGGCGGAACATTTTCTGTTGTCCTATCGTGCCATCTTCCGGGTGAGCAGCGTCGGAGACGCAACTCATGGGGGGTGCGAACGGACTGCGATGCCTTGTCAAGTTCTAAGGTGTCACTATAAGAGCTGTGAGCAAGACCGTGTAAAGTGCAAGAGAAGGGGGCACGCTACGCGTCCCTCGACTCTAGGGGGCATGCTACGCATCCCTCATCTTTACCTTTCTATGTGACCGCCAACGCAACGTTTGGCTCAAGTCAATGCCCATAGCTAAGTGCTATATGTGTCTTCTATCCTGAGCAATCAGAGCTATCCCGTTGCACAGACGAACCGCCGCCGGCAGTGAGTGCAAAAGGAACGGCCGCCGGTTCTGCCTGCATAGGATTGCACGTGTGGAAGTAAGAGGGAGAGACAGGGTCCAGTCTGTGGAGAGTGCTAGCCAGCCACACCTACATTCATTACAGCTCTGGTGGGGAGAGCAGCAACCAAGTCGAGATCAATCCCCCACGCACCCTAAGGGTCCATATACCCAAATAGTACATATTTTGGCCTTAAAGTAGTCCCGGGTCAAAGTATGTACTATTTGGGTACATGGACCCTTACACCCAAAACCCTTTTCGAGCCCTTGTAGTAACCCTTAGATGAGCCCTTAAAGGATCCCTATTTGGGTACATGGACCCTTAGGCTTGTGAATGGTTCCAGCCTGCCCGGCCGATCCGATTCAAAAGTTCCTGAACCCCTCAACGAAGCTCTCTTCAGCCTTTCCAAAGAGTAGCACATGAAAGTGCCATATCAAATGCAAAATACGATGCATACATATACATGTGTATATGTATATGTATATATATATATATATATATATATATATATATATATATATATTTCATTTATTTTATGTATGTAGATTCCCTATCCTTTGACGTATCTATACAGCAGTATATCCAGTTCCAGATAGTATGCACCCCTATGCCCTAAACTCTACAGACGCCAGGCCGAGGTGAAGCCAGGAATCCTGACACCCTAACCCAAAGGGTCCAAAGTACCTTTGTAGGAGAATGTAGGGTTTCTATATTGGGGGATTATTATTATGATTTGGGGAAGTATCCCCCATAACAGTACCCCTATAGATCCTTGAAAGGAACCCTCAAAGGGAACCCCATAGATCCCTTAAAGGTACCCGCAAAGGGACCTATAACAGTACCTAGGACCCATAACAGTACATAGGACCCTTAGGGTAATTACACCGCTAAGCCTGAAATTGCGGCCTCGGGGCTCCAAGATCCCGCAGTTAAGGAAGATACCTTAAAGGGTTCCTTAACGGGATCTATAAAGAAAGGAATGAAATACTTTAAATTAGATTATATATAGTAGGATCCCTGTTATGATTTATATAAGGCATATTCCTAAACCCTGAACCCTGAACCCTAATATTCCTTAATGGAGGGATCTTGGAGTCTCCGGGCGGCCTTGAGACCCGCCATGTGAGCCAGGCGCTCTGACCTGCTTGCGGCAAACATCTCGGTGTTGAATCGGCATTTCTTCGCAGGCGGCCGAACCTGAGGGCCCCAAGCACACAAATAGCACCTACTTTCGGGCCGAAAGCCCACATATAGCACCTACTTTGGGATATTCTTGGAGGTCCAGGGGAAGACAATCACATTAGAGATGTGACAGCCTAAGTCACGTGTGTCATGGTACACACAAACAGGCATAAGCAGTCGCATGAACATTGCAGAACTTAGCAACAGCAACGTCATCAAGGAAACGATATCTATATTAACTGATCCCTCGGGCAGCAGCAGCAGCAGCAGCAATCACCCTTAAACCCAAGCGTTGGATATACAAAACTGAATCACCAGCCGTGCAACAACTTCCCTCAAAAAGTTGCATCGTTTAATGTGGGTATCCTAATCCCTAAGGGTCCATGTACCCAAATAGTATATACTTTGGCCCCAATGTACCTATAGAGGGACTACTTTAAGGCCAAAGTATGTACTATTTCGGTACATGGACCCTTAGGGAATGCCAGGCCTACAGGCCTATGCCGTCTTACAAGTAGCTCGCATGCCTAATCCCGTCAGTCGAAGTTTGGTGTGCTTTCTAAGGGTTTTTGCTGTGTCTACGAAGTCGGGCTAGATAGCTGCTGCTACGGCTTGGGGTTCAGGTGTTTTAGGCATAAGTAAAGGGCGAATGTAATGCGCTTCGAGGACTGCAAGTAGGGTTTTTCAGCTGCGGGCTTTTAGGGGTTCTTGTGAAGTGCCATGGTGGCTAGCAATGTGTGCTTCAGTTGTGCATACAGGCACTCAAATGCCAAGCAGCAATCACTGAAATCTAGGCGACTAGGCTGGCATGAAGAAGCTGTATTCAAAGCCTAAGCCCTGAAACCTAAACCCCGTCTCTATCGTACACAACAGTCAGGTGCAGAGGGCAGATAATCAGTCTGTGCCGTCACGGAGGCTTCAAGCCTAGATCTAAGTTAACACCAAACGCTCCAACTCTATCACCGCAAAGCCCACATCCAATCAGAACCTACACCCCGACACCGCAAACCCGAAACCCCAAATCCCAAAGAACCTTGAAAACGGAAGGAACAAGCCAACCTTTTTGAAGGTATGGTCCTGTCACGGATGCTGGCTGAGAATCCAGCGGAAGGCGCAGACGAGGCAGCATTAGGGTTTGCCCAAGCCCCGGACCTATAGCCTAAACCCAAAACCCAAAACCTTGAAACAGTATTTAGGTGGTCTGTGGTTTTGTGCCGTCTTCGAGGACAAAGTGCTGCAAGGCTAGGAGGGTAAGGGTTCAGGGGAAGGACTCCTGGCTCAGGGTAGGGGTGTGTGTTACAGGGTGTGGGATGTACGGAACTTATTATTTTTTAGAAAAGTATTTGTAGCCTTAAAACCTAAACCCTGAACCCGAAACCCAAGTATAGATTTGCTTGAGCCGGTCGAGCCTTTGTGAGCGACTTCAAGCCGAGTCTGACCGTCTCAGCTGCACCTTCATCAGAATTTTCAGGCATTAGGGTTTAGGGCTAGGCTTTGGGGTTTCGGGTAGGGTTTGTAGGGTGCAAACTATGCCCTAGAGTTCCGGTTACAAATATGCTACGACGTACCCCGATACCCTATCCTAATTATTCCGGCCCTGTGTCATTTTTGTCTCGCAATCCTCGGGGCACAGGGTTTCGGGTGTTGGAGTGAGCTAACGGTCATTTGGCCAAGAACTCTCAGAGGTCTAGGCAGTAGTCGGGAGACCCTTAAAGGGAACCCTTCCTAACCCTACTGAATGGCTCCTTTAAAAAGAATGTTATTAGAAAGCCTATCTCCCCACCACTCCTAACTCCTATTGAGCTGAGCATTTGGAGCTCGAGGTTGGCGTTCGTAGGGTTCTACTCCGGGGCCGCATGTCAAAGACTGGGTGGCATCTCGTACAGAAGAACTACTGCAAGAACGATCAAAATACAGCAGCATTGAGACTGCCTTGCTTCTGCATTCTGCCAAGCTAACCCTAAATGCCGATCCCTAAACTCAACCCCTATAACCCTAAACCCTAAGCGCTATGCCCTGGACATGACACCTCGAAGCCACAAACAAGAAGCCCAAACCTGTACCTCAAACTCAAGTGGTAAAGTAGCCCTCCTAACCATTACCATGAGAGTAGCCCTTCGTAGCACCCTTATGGTAGTACCCTAAACCCTTATCACCAGACACATTTCGGCCAGGACCTCAAGCAGGCTTTGTTGGAAGCGGTGGAGGCTCTTTGTGTCTTCAGCCTTCTGGGGTCAGGGGTTAGGGCTTACGGGTCTAGGGGTTTAGGTTTCAGGGGTTTAAGGGTCCGGGGTTCAGGGGTTTAGGTTTAGGGTTTAGGGCTCGGCTTTCAGGTTTGGCTCCTTGGGCCTTTGGGCGGGGGGGGGGGGAGGGAAGGGGGCCGCTTGCCGTTTTCGGTCGGCAGCAAAGCGGGTCGGGTTTTGTGATTAGAGCAGGGTTTAATATTGTGCTTTATATAGGGACTCTGCCGGAGCATGACCGCTAGGTTTCAGGTATGCAAAAGTTTCGTCAGTTTGGCATGTTTGAGGTTTATTTTTTAGTAGTCATGAGTCTATCCTGATAATAGCCTTAGCCACTAAGTCTACTAAGCCCCATGATTTTTTAACGTACAATAACCCCCTTATAGAGCCGTTATAGATCACCTTTCTTACGGAACCGTTTGAGGAACCCTTTAAGGAGCCCTTTAAGTAGGCTGCAGAACTTTCGGCTTCAGGAAGACAAATCAGGGGCCGACAACAGACATCTGACTCAGGCTTCATCTCCGGGGAGTTCTCATGCGGGTTAGGGTTTAGGGTTCTATAGGGTTCCATATGGTTTGGTGTTAGGGTTTAGGGTTCTATGGTTTAGGGCAAATATAAAACTGCTCAAACCAAAAAACGAGCATCAACCCAGCGGAATTCACAGTCGAGATTGAAAAGGGTTGAAGCGTAGATTATTGTATGCTAGTGTGGTCATTTCGCCAGTGGTCACGCGATTCCTCAACAACGGCAGAAGCCGCGAATCGAATGTGGAATGAGCGATTTCGGGTCAAGAAGGTTGGATTGATTGCAATCGAAGAGGCCCTGTGCGAGCTAGATACAGCTAGTGGTCTCGAAGTACAAAGTGGAGTCGGCATTCAAGAACGTGAAGGCGCTGACCGATGGCTGCACCCACGGTCCGCGGTCCATCAGAGCTTGATGCCCAAGTTGCAGGGCTCGATCGATCCGTCTTTGTTTTATCTGTCACCCCGCCCCCATGTATCTCTTCTTTATTTATTCGTCAGTCTATCTATCTACCTAGCTACTTGGCTATATGTCTACAGTGATCTAACAGGAGCTCAGCCCCAATCTGCAAGCCCTAAAATCCCTGCCTTTGCCTCACAGCACAGGCGGGTGCCATGGAAACGAACTGGCGGCCGAGCCGGCGTGCTGAGCCCGTCATGGAGGAGCCAGGACCTTGGCAACTGCGAGCTTCAGAGATGTCGGAGTACCTAGTAGAGTAATTAGTACAATAATCAGTATAATAATATTAGAAACATTCGTAAAATGAGAAATAATGGAAAAGATATTGAGCTGATGCCACATTCTGTGACTGTGTACGTTTACTGAACTGATCTGGCTACTTTTCATCTTACTGCTCTGGCCACGTGGAGGGCGCTGCAGTGATCGATGTTTTTGTGTTTGCACTTGCCATTCCACGTAGTACCGGAAAGAATATCTTGGTACAGCTATGCTTCGATGGTTTGCGGTTTAGGGCGAACCTTCGTACGACCTTCGTATGCAGACCTCAAGGCACCCCTAAACTCCCCAACTCCTAACCCGCCTGAACCCTAAGGGATTTAGGGTTTATTCAGGGGTTAAGGGATTTAGGGTTTAGGGTGAAACTCTACCCTAAGGCCTCATAATAGTTCCTTTTGGGATGACCTCATACGAATCTAAACATGAACCACAAAAAGGAACTACCTATAGTCTCCATTGTAGTTGTTTTTTTTGGTTAACCAAAATCTCTATTATAGGATCCTAACCATAAAACTGGTTAACCAAAAAAAGAACTACAACGGATACTATAGGTACTATGGGGCCTTAGGGTAGACCCTAAGCCCTACACCGAGGCTGCCCCTCCGGAAACCCCAACCCTAAACCTTTGTCATAGTTGGGTAACGTTTTACCCTTTTACGGGTACTTAAACCCAATAAGTAATACGAAATTAAATTTTGAATCCTATTCCGACCATGAACTAGAAGCCCCAAAGCTTAAGCAAAGGTGCTTTCATAATTACCTATGCTAAAATGGGGGGGTTCCTTATTGTAGCTATAGTATAATGGGCCCAAAACCCTGTTCTAATTATTGAGGCCCCAAAGCTTAAGCTTAAACGGCAGTTCTCACCCGGAAAGTCCGAAGATTTTGCGGCCCGAACATGTTGGGCAACGTAGGTGTAGAAGCCCCCATCCGGGATGTCATAGTCATTTTGGCCCTTAAGCTTTTAGGAAATAGGCTTTTCAGAGTTAAGGGTTCAGGGTTTTGTGCTTTTAGGGCTTACGGTCTCAAGTTTCCAGGTGTGCGGTACCATGCGGTGCGACAGAATCTCGGTTATCCACAAGCGCAGCAGTGGAGTCCTCGATCCAAATCGCTCGAATCGCTCGAGTCTGTCGGACCCTTCGTGCCAACGAGAAGGTAAAAGAGGTCGATTCGGATGGCCTCTGACCCCAAACAACCACACAGACAGCCTGTGTTCTGCCCTGGTTCGAGGTTTCATGCTTCCCCACCTAGAAGATGGCTTCCTTCGCAAGGAATCCTCTTTCGTTCCGAAGGGCCGGAGCCTCTAGGCCACGCCCAGGACCCAAGCCCTGGACGGAAACTTAGCCCGGAAGCCAAGTTAACACAAAAACTTCAAGTAGTCCCTTTGTAGGTACTTTATAAGGCCAAAGTAGAAGCTGTTTGGGTACATGGACCCTCAGGGTGTTAACATACAAAACCTATGTGAAGAGACTGCATCCTCCGAGTTTGAACGATTCACTCATCAACGTGTCTAAAACCTTAGGAAAACTCTTAACAAGCCTCAAAAAAACGCGGAACCGAAGCTCTTCCCAGTTAAAATAGAAGCCTACTTGGAGGATCACGGGACTTAGTAAGTAAGGTTATAAGTACCTTGATTGGGGTTATAAGTAGTTATAAGTATAGTTACCCTAATAATAACCTTAGTTACTAAGTCCCATGATCCTTTAAGTAAATATGCCCTCAGGGCTCCGTATGATAATTATCTACGGTGAATGAGCCCCAAACCCTATTCAGTACTAAACACGACAAATAGCCCTAAGCCCTCAGCCTAAACCCTGTTCTAATCAATAAGGCCCCCAGACATTAAGCCTCAAAAATACCCCTTTCAGTACCCCTTGTAGGAGCCCGTTAAAGGAACCTGTTCTAAATACGGTGGATGACATAAATCCTGCATTACCTTAAGGACCTTAAACTCTGGGAATTGTGATATATTCCTTATTATGGGTAATGCAGGGTTTATATCATCACCCTAAACCCAAAACCCAAAACCCTAAACCCACCGTATTCAGGCCCCTACAGGCCCTACAGTACCACAATGCCTCATCGCCTTTGCGATCCTTGGGCCCCGAGTCGCCGTCGCCAAAGGCCCATTGCAGGTTCACGGTTTTGGGCTTTTGGTGGTAGGGTTGAGGGTTTAGGGCGTAGGGTTTAGGGTTTAGGCGGTTTTGGGTTTAGGGTTTTGGGTTGAGGCGGTTTTGAGCTTTTGGTGTGTAGGGTTGAGGGTCGTGGGTGTGGGGTTGAGGGTTGTTCAGGGTTGACGGTGTAGGGTTAAGGGTCGTGGGTGTTGAGAGTTGAGGGTGTCGGGTTGAGGATGCAGGGTTGATGGTTGACATTGCAGGGTTAAGGATTGAGGGCGGTTTGGGGTTTGGGGTTATAGGGTTGCAGGTTAAGGACTTTAGGGTTCAGGGAAGATGGTGAATATGAAGGTTATTGTAGTTGTTTGCATGGACCTTGAGGCCTGAACCTTAAACCCTGAACCCTACACCCCTGACGAAAGCCACGGCTGAGGCCCTTGCAAACCCTGCAAATTATAGGGGCCTTAATAGTTATTAATCCAATTGGGGGGGGGTCTTTGTTATAATCAAAGGAAAAACGCACCCCCCGAAACTCTCTTGGAAGTAGTGAGGCGCCTACGTCACCCTGAACCCGAACCCTAAACTATCCCCAGGGGTCCAAGTACCTAATTATCATATACTCTCCAAAATAGTAGCCTACATAACGACGATCCTAAAACCGAATACCTAATTATTGTATCCTCTGGACCCTTAGGGTATCCTAAACGCAAAATCCTAAATTGTCAGGCGAATGCTTCCCCGGTGCCAAACTCTGAGGCTTCTCGGCCCAGGAGGCATCCCAAGGGAAGCCCATGGGGCTTCGGACTTAAAGTTTAGGGTTCAGGGTTTAGGGCACAGAGCTTCGAGATTTTATGTCGGAGGTTGCTTAAAGAAGTAACATGGCTTTAAGTGTTCGGGGTTGAGGGTTGCAAGTTTGATATCCGCGGCTTGGTTTTGGGCTTTCGGTTGATATCAGGGAGTGCATTCAGAACGTGTCTTGGCTGAGTGCTTTGGTCGATTGATTGGGTTTTCGAGCCATCTGGCCGGACATGAACGACAGGTCGCTATGACATGTGCTACGAAGTTTCCAAGCACGAAACGTTGGAGTTCCGGACTGTTGCTGAAGCTCCCTTGCAGTACCCTAGCGGATGGCATTGGCAAAATTAAGCCGCAAGCGGCTGCAATCCGTATGTCGCAGCGCGTTTCAAGGCATTTAGCTTAGAGGGGTTGTTTCGCAGCCCGTTCTGGAACCAACACCCTGCGTGAGACGTTGGTATTCCGGACTGTTGATTGAGCTCCCTTGTAGCAGATGGATACTGTGCATTGGCAAAAGCGGCAATCAGCTGCAGTCCGCATATTCGTAGAGACATCTTAAGAAACGTCCCAAATCGTTGCCAAACTAGGAACGCTACGGAATCTCGATAATTCAAAATGCCAAAGCTAAGATAACAACATGAAAGGTGCAATCAGAAAGTACTTACGAAATAGTTATGAATGTACACATACATATACATTGACTACGGGTGGTCATTGAATCTCGCACTGAACATTTTAAACTCTGAGCTCCAGACCATTGCGCATACACTCTGATTCGAAACCCTGCTCATCACCATCCCTTAATCTCAGCACTCGATCCTTACACCTAAACCCTCAGCCTGACACCCTTGAGAATCCCCAGAGCAGCATTCAAGCCTTCAGCTGTATACCATACTACTCTTCGTTCTCCCTCTTTCATGCAACCAATTCCATGACACCTTCCCTCAACCTTATAAACTTATAAACCCAAATACCCCAAAGCCCAAACCGTTCAACCGTAAAACTTCTAAATCCTAAGCCTTAAGCCGCTAAACCCTACTACAAACCCCAAAACCCTAAACCCTAAAACTTGAAATCCCTAAACCTAAAGCCGCCTAAGCCCACATTAATTTCAGGGATCGCCCTCCTCCCGTGCCCAAGCGGCCGTGGGGGGCAAGGGCTCCTCCGTCGAAGTCCGAGGTAGAGGCTTCGAGTTAAGGGTTTAGGGATGAGATGGTTTAGGGTTTAGGGTTTAGGGCTTAGGGATGAGATGGTTTAGGGTTTAGGGTTTAGGGTTTAGGGTTTAGGGGTTTAGGGGTTTAGGGGTTTAGGGTTTAGGGTTTAGGGTTGTGTGTGTGTGTGTTTGTTTCGGGTTTAGGGTTTAGGGTTTAGGGTTTAGGGTTGTGTGTGTGTGTGTTTGTTTCGGGTTTAGGGGTTTAGGGTTTAGGGTGTTGTTTGTGTTTCAACTTTCAGGGTTCGAAGTTTGGGATATAAGCTTTATCTAGGGCAAGCGGGGTTGCGTGGTTTTAGGATTTAGAGTTAGGTAGGGTTTTGGGTTTTAGGGTTCACGGTTTACGTTTGTAAATGGCATTAGGATTTTAGGGGAGATGTAAGGTTGAAGGCTTGGTGTGTCGAGCTGCAGGATTTCAACTTCTAACTTTGCGATTCGGGGTTGCAGAGTTTAAAGTTAAGGCTTTCCGGCTTTAGGGTTTTGGAGAGTCGGGATTTAAGGTATGTTATGTCTTTAGGTTTTAGGCTGTTTAAAGATGCGACTTCATTCAATCCCTTGAAGCTCCACCTGTTTTCAAGATGAGCGCCTGAGCAATAGAGGGGTCAACATGCTTCCCCAGAGCCTCCAAAACCCCTTAATTAAGGAATATACCTTAAATTATAATAGGATCCCGTATTTGTTTTAGGGGAATTCCGGGTTTTGGAGTCTCTGAGTCCAAAGACTTAGAGACCAAGGGCTCGGAGGAGACAGAGGCCTAGATCGTTGGCGGTCATTGAAATTAGGGTTCTGGGTTGACAGTGACTACTTATAGTGTATGTGTATTTATGCGCGCATATAAAAGAGTATACAATGGATTACGACCCTACCTCAAAAACGCCCGCTGCAATTCGCAACTCGCGTAGGCACACTTCATTCCTGCAGGGGTTACCAAAGCAGCAACGAGAGTCTTGCTTGGCCCTTTCTGAAATCACAGACTCCCGGGAAGAAAACATAGTTACTGACTTCAAGGACGAGTCCTACAAGCGAAGCTCCCAACAGGTGAGCCGCATATTGTTTGTTGGAACCTTTCTCGCACAACAGCCCTACCAAAGCTTGGTACCAGGAGCGACTCTCTGATCTCAGGGTTCGCTTTGCTGCCCGCCGGCGTCGAAAGAAGGCCGCCAACGAATAGCGACACAGATTCTATGATAAGCCCTACCTTAACCCTGAATAACCTACCTTGTTAAGGACTTATATAAAGAAATCATAATAAGGAATCCGAAAAAGGTAGATTATGCAGGGTTAAGGTATAGTGTAAGATTCATAGGGACCCGATTGCTTGTAAAGCTTGTAGCTCCTCTGTAGGTACGAAGGGATCCTCACTTCGTTTTGGAGCCCGACACGGTTGCAAGAAGTAGCCCCGGGGTACATGCACCTATGTTTGTGTATATATATATATATGCACACATGTTGTTCGTAGGGGTGCAAGTTCTCTAAATCAAGGTCCCGGCAAGTTGCTGTTGCCGCATACTCGTTTGGGGGATCCGAAACTAACATGGAGCTCGTATCAAGCACGCAGAAACATTTGCGCCCATGCTCTTGTATAAGAAGGTATACCATGTAGGAGGTGCCGAATAACACCCTGCTGAAGATATCAAGTTGAATTTATTGTGCTTCGCGCTTGAGTTCCAAACGCCCTCATCGCGTAGTTTTGGGCTTTGGTGGCTCCCGGACTCCAACACGAGCATGCAGTCTCAGAAACTCAAAGCCCAGAACAGCAATCCCAAAAAAAGCTCGACACAAACTCAGGCTCCAAGTCGCTAAGCCCTTAAGACGAGGTGTCTAGTGTTTGAAGCCCTTTCGCCTAAACCCTAAACCCAACCATGAGCTAGTCCGCATGAGCTTCCCTGAGGCAGCGCGTGCTGTCGCAGGAAGGCCGAGAGCGGGTCTCTGAAGTGGAAAGCAGGAAACTACCCCAAACCCTAAACTCCAAGCCTTACCCGAAAACTCTACAAACCCCAAACCCTCCTGGCGCCACTGCCAGCCACATAATAGAGTATGGTGAGGGGTGGAGCTTGGGGTCTCTAGATAGGGCGTAGGGCTTTGGATTTAGAGCCAGTTTTGGATTCTCGCTTTGCTTTGGCCCTCTCTCCATAGAACCATGACTCTGAATGCAAGCAGCGATTCAACTGAATGATGTGTCTTACCCTCTCACGCTTCGGTTCAGCTGATGGCGAATAGCGGCTCGCACCTGAGCTCAAACCTGAACTTCAGTAACAATCTGACCCTCATCCCCAAAGGTTCCATGTGGCCATGTAGTAGGTACTTAGGCCGTAAAGTACTCATATAGGGACCCCTTTAAGGGCTAAGTACCTACTATATGGGCACATGGAGTCTTAGGGATCGTGGTCGGGCGCTCAAAGCATCTCGCTCCACATTAGTGATGGCGCTCCGAACACGAAGCCTCAAGCCAAGGATCCTCAACTACCACATGTATAACTTCAGCACAAAACTGTACATGCAACTTCAAGACCCAAACATTGCCAATGCCTAGGGCCTAGGGGTCCATGTACCCTAATAGTCTATACTTTGGCCGCTATGTACCTATATAAGGACAACTTTTACGGCCAAGAATATACTATTTGGGTACATGGACCCTTAAACCCTAAACCCTATTAGAACCCTGATAGCAGCCCTTTATGGTAACCCTTACAGGAACCCTATTACAGAACCCTTAAAGGGCTTGAAGGATCCCTCTGGGTAAATGCAGCCTGAGGGAATGCTACATTCGAAGCCTGAGCCTACCCTAAGGCCCCAAAGTAGTTCCTTTTTGGGGTTCATATATAGAACCCTGTAAGGTAATCCCAAAAAGGAACTACTTTGGGGCCTCTGGGTAATCCCGCCGCCAGGAACGATGCCCGCAAGCCAATATTCAAGAATAAACCCCTAAGACTCCATGTGCCCATATAGTAGGTGCTTAGCCGTTAAAGGGGTCCCTGTATGGGCACTAAAGCCTAAGTACCTACTATATGGGTACATGGAGCCTTTGGGAATGAGCCCGAAACCCTAGCCCTAACCCTTCCCGGAGCCATAAACCCTAGGCCCAAGACCCTAAACTTACACGGAGCCCTCAAGGCCTTAAAGTACCCCTTTAAGGGTTAAGTACCTACTATATGGGCACATGGAGTCTTCGGGTAAGCCCTCGACCGGTTCGAGGGATTTCGAGTTTGCCGAGCAAAGCGCCGGCGTGCATTTGGAGGAGCGTCAGGCACGCCCTTCGATCGAGTGCTTCCTTTTTCGCGCTTTAGGGGTTTTAGGGTTTATAGGGTTTATAGGGGTTTATAGGTTTGTAGGGTTTACAGGGTTTATAGAGCTTATAGGGTTATAGGGTTTATAGGCTTTAGGGTTTTAGGGTTTATAGGGTTTCGGGTTTGGGATTTTAGGGTTTAGGGTCCTAGGTAATTACCGTTCTCGAGGGAGACTTTCCTCATAATAGTGATCCCCAATTTAGAACCCTACAGATTACTATATAGGTACTTAGAGCCCTTTGGGTTTTGAGGCGTTGAACTTGAAGCGTGCAACTGTTTGGGACTTACACGTTTGGACGTTCGGCATCCAAATTATTGTGGCAAGTATCCTTAGGGTGCCCGTCGATATGGAGACATTAATATCAAAGCACGCTAACCCCAGTCTGAGTATGTCGGCATGTATCAGGTTTGCCCACGGCTTTGTTGAGTTAAAACGAAGTTTAGAACTCTTGCAGGTTTGTGTACTTCCAGGATACCTGTGGCTTGACAGCCCACCATCGAAGTTCCTGCACCCTGACCACACCCTGAAAGAATAGACTGTGCCTTAAACCATAAGCTCCTTGTGAGCCCTACACTAAGCCTAATTCCGTGATCCTTCACTTGTTCGGTCTTGCGAGTGCCGCTGGTTGTGGAACACATGCAGGAGTTGCCGCAAATAGGGGACCCTAATATAGTACCCTAAATAGTAGGATCCTTATTATACGGACCCCCAAAATAAGGCACCCCGTATTTTCGGAAACTCCCAAACCCTAAACCCCAAAAACCCTTGATAGAACCCTTATGGATCCCTTTAAGGAACCCTTAACGTCTTTATGGATCGAACCCTTATAGATCCCTTTAAGGAACCCTTAAAGGCTTTATAGATCGCACCCTTATAGATCCCTTTAAGGGGCATTATGGCAAGGATGTCCTTGGGCCGTTTACCTGTGTGCTCTAGGACACACGATGGGAGGAAGAGTATGAACTCGGGGTACCCAGAGGCTCCAAAGTAGTTCCTTTTTGGGATTACCGTATAGGATTCTATATATGAACCCCAAAGAGGAACTACTTTGGGGCCTTAGGGTAACCCTAAGGGTCCCAAAGGATACAATAATTAGATACTCGGTTTTAGGATAGTAGTTCTGTAGGTTACTATTTTGGAGAGTATATGATAATTAGGTACTTGGACCCCTAGGGTAGGAATCGGGAACGGAAAAGACAGAACAGTGAAGGGAAGGAGACGAGGGGGATACGTGCATTGAACAGTAAGCGAAGACGAGAATAGAGCTGTGCTGATGCCACATATAACGACAAGGGAACGCGCAAATGCACAGAAGATTGCTAATTGAAAGCGGAGGACGTTTCGGACAAAAGAAAATGACATGCACCTTCTCGTATGGGGACGCGCCTTTGAGCAGAAATAAGGCCTTCATCATTATAGAACGAGGTGGCGCAGCCTATCCAAACAGTACTAGAACACGATGCTTTCAATCGGGTGAAGCAGTACTGCTACTTTTACTCATGTTCAGCACCGTCAATCAGATTGACTTTGGGTTACGACTGTTTTTGCCAGGAGCGGGGTGTCCTGTCTCCTTGTTTGAACCAACATGCCGGAGGTGATGAGCACTCCGTCGTTGCGTGGGGTGACCCGGACTGCTGCGGCGACTTGGACATTGGATGTCGCTGACTTGTGGTGCGACGACGACAAGTTTCATGCGATGACGATGGATGGCGAGGCTTGAAGTCATCCTCGAGCTGTGAGGCACGTTGACACCTTTTTTGTTGCACCCTAAGCCTGGGCAGATGGAGTCATGGTCGAGACATGGTCGGCGAACAGCGCCCGACCACCGACGCAATCTTGAGGACGGCAGAGTATGGCCCCCCACAAGACGCCAGGGTGGCCAAGGCGCAGGTGATGAAGGCCTGCCGCGCCTTCCGGCTGTTTTCTTCGGGATGCTGCTTGGTACGAGGATGTGCCGGAGGCGGACAACGATGTTGCAGTGGACCTGGCCTTGTCTTGCACGCAAGATAACGCCAGTCTTCGCCCTGGCTTCGGTCAGATTGTGGCGAGCCTCCAGGCCCGAGTTTGTCGTCAGGCGCTGGGGTTGGTGGGGCTGCAGCTGTCCCCAGGCGGCCTTCCCCACGCATCGCGCCAAAGTGAGGGAGGCGCAGAATGCTGGTCATATGACCGCATTCCTAAAGCGGGTGGCAACATGAGCGAGGTGTACGTCTAAATTGCCGGCTGTCTGTGGTGAGCAATTGTTGATTGTCTTAGAAGATCCTCTATTAGAGGAGGAAGACGACGAAAGCACGGACAGCCTGAACCGCATCGGTTCACGCATGATGCCGATGAGGAAGCAGTAGCCTAAAATCTCATTCTGGGCTTGCGATTTGAGGGCGTCTGTACCTCTGGCAACAATCTCTCGAGCTTTGGCTGCAGCACTGCAGTGCTAGTCTGTGGCATGCCCGCGCCTCTGGTTTGTCCGACATGAGCCTGGAACAAGCTCGTTCACGTGTTCAACGGGAACACTGCGAGCCAGGCTCACAGTGCTCGGCTCACGCAGCTAGTCGAGCACGAAGTGACCTTTTGGATCCACCTCGGAGAGCGCACGACTGGAGAACATCATCGGCCCCGGCCCTTCCACCTTCATGCAACTATTGCTGTTTGTGTCCTGTATTTGTCGCGGATCACGATCACATACTGGACTTCTACTGCATCAAGTTGGTCCACTGAGACTTCGGGATGTTTCGACCGCGGTAGAAAGATGACGGATAAAACGGGTTCCAAGCTAGCTTGGAGTTAATATACAACGATGCATTCGTGTCTAGGCTCTGCAGCATTCCAGGCTCTGGGTTTTCAGTTGGGTGGGCAAGAGCGATGTAGGGTTTAGGGGCTCGGTGCTTTACCACGCGTGCGACTTCCGCAAGCCCCTAAAGCTAAATCCTCAGGGTCCAAGTACCTAATTATCATATACTCTCCTAAATAGTAAGCTACATAACTACTATCCTACAACCGAGTACCTAATTATTGTATCCTTTGGACCCTTACAGAAAGGATGCGAATCATGAAACCCCGAGCACTCGACCCGTCGACGGGCCTTGACTCCCAAATCCCAAGCCTAAAACCTCTCAGCCTGAATTTAGGAATTTAGGGATTTAGGCTGTAGGTCGTTTAGGGTTCAGGGTTAATTTTAAAGCGCCCCAAACTCGATTTATCCTATCTGGCCTTATAGTCCGGCATGGTGTAACATTCCATGGTATAGTATATTCATGTTATAGCTCACTATACTGTTCGTTGTGATATACTGTAATATAACACAATTAGCAGACTTTACCATGCCATGCTACACCCTACTAGACTATACCATAACATACCAGACCATGTTAGAACAGATTATGCTGTGCCATACTGTGCTAAGCTAATGCACTACCATACCATACTATACTATACACGCTGATTTCCCAAGCCCGGCAGTCGCCTTCGCCCGGACCTGGAAAAGCTCGGTTTCCACTGCAGTGGCAGGTGGAAGAGGAGGGGTTCAGGGTTGAAACATTAGGATTGTGGATTTTTAGTATTTAGGGTTTAAACCCGGAGCCCCAATAAACAACCACAGGGAACACCGTAATGTAGTCTGGTGGCTTACAACTTGTGCGAAGGATAGGTCTTAAGTGCCCCAGTGTTGTGACTATGCATTGGGGCTTTAGGGTTTTGGTTTTGGGCTGTCTTCTGCATCAGGGCCGTTGGGCCTTTCAGGGTCTGTTACTTTAGGCTTTTGGCTTGCTCCGGGTTTCGGGGCTTCGGGTCTCATACCTAATCAACCCCTAAACCCTAAACCCCAAGGATTTCTGGATGCACCCTTCTTCTCGGGTTTGACTTTCTTCGCAAGGAAGGGCATGACTGGATACATGGTTCCAGTTGCTGGTGCGGACTGAAAGTGGTGCCGTTTAGAACATTGAGCTCATGCGTTCGAGAGCTGATGATGATGATTTTCTCGGGACAGATTTGGCTCATTGCGGATGCTACAGACCAACACGTGTCTCAGATTGCCAGGCTCCGCGAGGGTTCGGGATTTGGTGCTTTCAGACAGCGGACGACGCACTTTCGCTTGTTTTGCATGCTAGGAGCCATTGGCGTTGGGAAACCCTCAACCCTAAACCGTATCCGAACTCCCAGTCAAAGCCAAAGCCCTAGAGGACTCAACCGCCCAACCCAATCCCGACAGCCTAAAGCCCACAAGCTTACCTTACAGCTCAGGACTCCACACCCACCTCCGCATTTTAAGCCCACCAAACCCCATAAAGTTGGAAACTGGATTAAGGCCAAATAGTGCTGGGATTCCTTGTACATTATTCTTAAGCATGGAGGCTCTGGGGTTTCCAACCTTTGGGCTTCTACTGTAGGGTTTAGGGATCCGAGACCTCACAGGAGATCTTTCTGCCACAGCTTGTCATGGCCCCTGCCAAGCGCGCTGCTGCAGAAGTGGCAGGCTCGCCTATAAGATGGTTCTCTCAAGAGTTTATGGCATCGGATTGTTATATAGAAAGCTGAGTGTTCATGATGTATTTTGTTATTGTTTCTTGTTAAGGGCTGTTGCGGGACAGCAGATCGTAGACCCTGCTTTGAAGAGGTGGAGACACGGATCTCCGAAAACTTCAAGTACAAACATGCAAGCATGCGTCCTCCAAAGGGCCCCTCGATGAACCCACCGGCCTTGGCTTACACCTGACTTCGGGTGTGCAGCGCTATAATCATCAGTCACAGTCGCCATGTTGAAGCAAGCAAAAATCAGCCAGGCCTAATTCGGACGCCATCAATCTTGAATTCTTGAATCATGCTAAATCACTGTCGAACTTTGGAGCAGAAAGTCTGGTGTAAATGTATGTAGCAGAACAGGGGAACGACATGGCACTCGTGGTTTCGTTTCCTAAGCTGTGACCGCAGGTATCTGTGTTCAGGGCAGCAGAAAGGGAGTTTCAGGAAATGGCAGCCAGGTTATAGCGATTAGACAGTAGGATTCCCAGTACCGGCCAAACAGGACCCCAATTTCTGAGTCCCCCATACATTCATTACGGCGAGTAGGCATCTGGGCCCTGCGTAGGTTGAACATTTAATCTTTTGAGTCCATACAATCCGACCATAATTGAACAGGTTACTTGGAGGTTCATGGCTAGTTAGAAGTAGGGTTATAAGTAGGGGAACTATACAGATAACCCATAATTATTAGGGGAGTTATAACTTATACTCCAAGACCTTTCCCGGGCCCGAAACCCTAAAACCCTAAACCCTAAACCAAAACCCTCTCTCGGGCCAGGGTACTCAGCTCCTAAGCTCTGGTTGAGACCCCAAAGGGTCCTATGTACTGTTATGGGGGATACTTCCCTAAGTCATAATAGTAATTCCGAATATGGAAGCCCTAAATTCTGCTATATCGGTACATGGGACCCTTTGGGGACAAGCTCCTTGCAGGCGGCTTGCCGATGAGGGGAAATGCTGCCATGTTGCCGAGGCTGCTTTCAACACCCTAGAGTAGAAGCTAGAAAGTTGGAACATCGTTATCCTCATGCCCTTAAGGTAAAGTATAGGGAATCCCAGCACGACTCATCCTAAATCCATGTTCCAACTTTTTGGGGTTCAAAAAAAAAGGTTCTGGGTTCAGGGTTTAGAGTTTCGGGTGTGGGTTCTTGTTGAAGATCTCATTTTGAGTTGCAGCGCGAGCGATGTATGGAAAAAGCATTGGCCGTATTCTAGTAGCTTACCTAACTTAAGAGCCAGAACCCAGTGAACCCTACTTAGAGGATCATGGGACCTAGATTAAGTAAGGTCATGTACTTTAACTTGGGTTATAAGTAGTTATAAGTATAGTTATACCCCACTAATAACCTTAGTAGCCTTAAATACTAAGTCCCATTATCCTTGAATTAGATACAACAGGGGCAGTGTCGCCCTCCAGGATCCGATTGCTTCAGGGGCTGATAATGATCCGGTGCATGCGGTTGATGATATAAATCCTGCATTACCCATAATAATGAATGTTCCATAATGCCCATAGTGCCCATAGTTTAGGGTCCTTAAGGTAATGCAGGATTTATATCATCCGCCGATGCCATCCGTTCGACAGCACGTTCTGTTTTCCTACTTGTCTTGAATCCAGAATATGCCCTAAACCCTAGACATCAAACCCTACACAATGCTCCCTCATGAGGACCATACTGTTCCAGGCAAACGATTGCAGGCCTCTGGGGCTCGAGCTCCCTGAATCGGGTTTATGCGGGATTCTAATATGCAGCTGTGCCTGCATGTAAGTCTGTATGCATCTATGCACGACTGTATGCCTGTACGTATGTGTTCATGCAGCACGCGCACATCTAGGCATGTGCGCATGCATGTTTGGAAGGATGAACGGATGAGTGGATATCAGTCTATGGTCTATCTGAGAATCTAGCTACCTATCTTCCTATCTGTCCACCTACCCTGCCAGATGTCCCTCTCTCCCTGCCTTTTCTTGATTAATGACATTTTGCCACCTGTCATCTACCCAGTTATCTTCTTTATCCATCTATCTGTGCATCCGTCAGAAGCCAGCCAGCCATCCATCTACCGGGAGGTTGGGTTTCGGGCCACATAGTTGCTGGGCTTGTGTGGGATTTGGGGTTCAGGGCGTGGAGTGCAGGGTAATTAAGGCTCAAGCCCATACGCGAATTTTCTTGTCTGAAGACTAGAGAATGATATCCCCTTGTCTTTCCTATAAAATTCTGTCATCCGACAACTCCTCACATCCCGTGTTCTGATTGCTAAGGCCCCGAGAGTATGCCCCTGAAAGGAGCCTGATTATCGTTCCTGGGTTTCCGCCATGTGTCACAGGTTTCAGTCGCCCTCTGCCGAGAAGCGCACCCCTCAAGCTGGAGTCTTCGGGCATTGCCGAACGGTCTGAAGTACACACGGATGATAGGTACCACGGGTTTATGAAGTACCCAAGCATTTGGTACTTATGCCTTTAGGGTTTTAATGTTTAGGGTTTAGGGGCGTGGGGTTTGTAGCGGTTCAGGGTTTAGGACGGTAGAAATATAGGTCAAGACTTTTGGGTAGAATCTATGATTACTAGTTACTTTGGCCCTATTAGGTTCTGCAGCACTGAAACACTTTGGTGGTGCATCTTCAGTGTGCATTAACAGAGCTACCCCGATCTGGGAGTGTACCTGCAGAGGCTTCTGTTTGGATACTGATGCACTCTCCTTTCATTCGAGAGATGGTTTCATCAACCCTTACTGTAACCCCGAAGCCTATACCCAAAGCCAAACCTCTCCTTACAACCATCAACTTGCTTCCTTATTCTGGCCTTGCAGCAAGAAGGGAAGGTTCAGGGTGCGGTGGTGCAGGGATTAAGCTCAGGGTTCAGGGTTCAGGTTTGAGGTTTGGGGGCGTTGCGTTCAAGTTTTCAGGTTTGCGTTGTTTAGGGTTAAAGCATGTCGGGTGTTTTAACAGAGCCTGAAGATAGTCTGTCGTGAATGATGTGACCCGGCTCGCAGTGCTCGGCATACCATAAACTACCCAAGCCGACTTTGTTTTTTTCTGTAGGGTGCCGAGAAATTCCACAAGATGAACAATACAAACTAGGTGACGGTTGCTTACTGGTGGGGCTTCGGGTTTGGTTCATCCTGAGAACGTCAAGCGCGCTTCAACACGGCTCTTTCTGTTGTCTGCTAAAACCCATTCTTCAATCCTTTACCCTAACTCTCTCAGATGTTCAGTCGTTTAGGCCGGAAAACCTCACTATATCAGTCTTTTGGATAACCTACGACTGCAGATCTTTGGGGTGTAGGGCAGTGCCAGGTTTAGCCTCATCCTTTGCAGCTGGAAGATGGCTTGAAGGATTGAAGGTTTAGGAGTTCGGAGTTCGAGGCTTTAACTTATTGGCTGTAAACTCAACTTTTCAACTTTTGGGGTTCTTATAAGGTAGTAGATTCTGAAAGTTTCAACTTTTATTCCCTTGGGTTTTGGGCAAGTGAGTTAAACACGGGTCTAAATTTAGGTTTTCAGGATTGAGAAGGGCAATCGTCGCGCAGGTCTCGTTGCAATGGGGTTTACCGAGAGCCGCGTGGATTGTCTTGGTAATCCCGCTTCTTTTTTTTTTCTCGACCCGTCTCAATGCAGCCGTGGTATGACTGCCCTATATTATGTGTATATATATATATATATATATATACATGTATGTATACACATACAGATACATAATCATACATCTATACATATGTTTATGTGTATATAGATGTATAGACATATGTATATGCGTGTGTGTATATATATATATACAAAATACGTACATAACATATAAATATGCACACATAGACCGTCAACTGTGGACAGAGCTCTGCGGTCAGCATGTTCGCGTGTGTATCTTGGCTCACAGGCGAGTCCGCCTCAGCAGGTGTTCCTAGTGCCCTAGTGCCCAACCATCAGTTTTTAGTCTACATCTGCGGGGACATCAGTTTCGGAGGCTGTAGGACGTTTTCTGAAGGGCACCCAGTTACTTGGGATAGCATCACGGTTACCATTTTTTGCCCGTCGGTTCGGCGTTGACAATTAGACGTGACATGCACGCAGCTGACGCGGGTCCGGCATGGCGGTGAAAAGCTGCGTGGGCTACGCCCAGACTCTGGAGACCTACTTGGACCCTTACAGGAGAAAGTCCACCAACGATCTTGTAGTTCTCGGGTCAAAGACGGACCAAGCCGAACAGCCTCCTGCTATTCCGTCGCTCCGGAGATCAAGTTCAGGCTCTATCAAGTCTAGCGAGGCTCACCTGTTAGTCTATGCCGAGAAGAACAGCACAACGCTCACACGCTTTCGCAAGTTGTTGAAAGGCCTTGTGGATGCTGGCCTTACTGTGGAAATCCGTTCTGAGATTCACGAGCTCGAAGCAGATGCCCAAGAGAGCACTCTGAATGCTTCGGCTATTTGTGTCCTCTGGTCGCCCTATTTCATCGTGAGCTACAAGGACTGCCTTACGGTGTGATTTAGCCTTGCCGTTTGATCGACCCAAATCCCATGATTTGCATCCAAGACACCGAACGAAGGAAGGGGGCTTGGGTTGTTGTCCCATCCTTCCACGTGTTCGAAAAAGCTTACACCCTGCACCATGAGCATATGAGGTCTCTATATTCGGACTGCATGGCTCATGAAATATGGGCACTAAGACTAAGAGTACATGGACCGGTAAAGTCAGGGCTTCGCAGTTGCAAGGTCCGGATTTAGAGTAGGGCCTTAAGGGATTTGCTATGGCCTTCGGTTTGGGGAGCCAATAAAGGTTTGATATGGTGCGTAAAGAGTTTTTCCTTAAGGGTCCCTATTATAGAGCCCCCTGTAGATCCCTCATAGGTAACCCTTAAAGGAACCTCTTCAAGGATCCCGATATGGGTACATGGACCCTTACTTGGAGGATCGTGGGACTTAGTAAGTACGGTTATAAGTATCTTAATTGGGGTTGTGAGTAGTTACAAGTATACTGACCTGATTCATAGCCCTAGATACTAAGTCCCATGATCCTTTAAGTAACCCAAAGACCCCTCTTATAGAACCCCTATAGATCCCTTTTAAGGAGCCCTTTAAAGAACCCTAAAGATACTAAGTCCCATGATCCTTTATGCAGGGTGTGAGTAGAAAGGAGCACCTCCTGAAGATCGCGGAGAAAGCCGCTGCTCAGGAGATTCGGCTCCTCAACGACACCCGGCTTGGAAACTTATTAATATTATGATTATTATGATTATTTTTATTATTATTACCATTATTATTGGTATTAGTACTAGTCTTTATTACTGCTTTTGTTATTTTTTCGTGATATCTATGATATTTGGTTTTACTATGGTGCGTTTTTCGTTTCTGTTGAGAGAGGGGGGGTGTTGTTTAGGGTTAGTAAGGCTGAGGGGTCTGCAGCGGGGGTGAGTTGCGGGTTTAGGATTTCCGTTTTTTGGGCATATGAGGTGTATCAGCTTCCACACGGCATATCTACGGAATCCGTCAACCTACATGCTAGACCCTTCAAGACAAACTGGCCAGGTCCTGCCCCTATATTCCCCAAACCTTCGTAGTGCGAGTTCTAGACCACGCAGTACCATGCAGCAACACCCAGAGCTCCAGAGTGCGAGTTTAACATGCAGTAAAGGTTTTCAGTATAGGGTCTTATGGATTTGCTTGGGCGCCCCAGATGCGCTTTAACATCGGTGACCTAAACTCTAAGCAGAAATCTTGTTTCCTTTCTTAGGGCCGCCCCGTCGTGTGCGGAGCTCCCTACGAAGACCCATCATCCCCTGATCATGAAATCGCCGAATGATTTCCTGAGCCTTTATCCTGGACCTTCACCGACGTCCTCCTGATGTCTAGCGATTTAACCATTGGTGTAGGGCTGTGGGGCAGAAGCCTTCGAAACCCTAACTCCAGTCTCAAACAAAAACCCTAAGCCCTACACGAAACCCCACAACACCTGCAGGGCTAAAAGTCTTGAAGAGCTTTGGCTGAGGATGTCCGCTGTCTCATCGAGTTAGCCGACAGGCGCTGGGCGCTGCGCATGCTTTCCGAGCCTCTCTTTGTCTTTGTCTTGAGGTAGGAATTAAATTTATCTTCGGGACTTCAAAATAATTAAACAAATTATCGACCATAACTGCGTTCAGATTTCGGACTTAGGGGCACCTCTGCACAGAAAGAAGAACTGGACCATTGAACCCTCCAGGGCGTGGGTTTTGCTCAAAGGACAGGACCCGCATGGATAAGTCTCACTGATTTTGTATGACGGTGATTGTTTTCATCATTGCTAATGCAAAATTATATGCTGCTATACTGAGCTTTACGAGTATTCCGGGCTCGACAACATGGAGGCCATCCAAAGCCGAGATTTCGGGGCCACAGCCTGTTATCTCGCAAAATTCTAGGTCGTGCTCCTGTCGCGTTGGGGCTCAGGGCATGTATCATGATTTTGGGTTGTGTTCTGTTTACAGTTAGTTTTGGAGCGTAAGGTTTCGAGTTTAGTGTTAAGCTTCACTCGTTGGCATCACTCCTGCGCATCTCTGAACACCATGAGATGTCTGCGCCGTTGACATAGAACAGCTCAGCAGCGTGCAGAGCATCCCTCAGAAAATGAACCCCAACCCATCGAGCAGCCCATACATTCCAAGGACCGAGGAACCAACACTTTTCTGAAACGCTCGTAAGATGACTCTGCGCAGCGGAGATGTGGAGCATGGGTTTAAATGACTGACCCCAAGCGTCCATGTACCCAAAGAGTTACCTTGGCCTTAAACTAATAGTCCCTATAAAGGTGCACAGGGGCCAAACCATGTACTATTTGAGACCCCTTGGGTAAATCTGTACCAAGTTTATTCCGTACGTTATACCCTGCAACATAATGTACCTGAAAGCCCTACAACATCTATTCAGGCCTCTATGTCACTTCTACAGTCGCAGCGACCTCCCCTAAACCCTAAACCCTAGACCGTCGGAGGGATTCCTAACTCATGGTCTCCCATGTATGCAAGGTGTGTAAACTCCGCACCAGCTGGGTAGATACCCCATGCAACAAAGCGCAAGCAGGCATATCGGCATCTGTACCAATAGCTCTCCTATTAAGCATCCTACCACGTAGTGAGGTCGTAGTGAGTCCGGCCTCTATCTGTTCCCTTGTTTTCTGGAACTCTTGTCTCAAGCCATGAGTCTAGACAGTCTAGATGTGCGGCTTGAGATGTACTGTATGTCGCAGATTGTAGTTCGGAATCCAGGGTCGAGGCTTGATCGGGCAACATGATTCCTGGAAATGATCCGAGGAACATGGCATTCCAACGCCAAAGTCTCATGACTGCTAGCACTCCCTGGTTTGCTTTTGCCGGCCCTACGATCTG